TCACAATGCTACTCCCCGCCGATCTTGGTCTGCTACAGCTACGTAGATTCCGCTCCAATCTTAATTCAACACCTTTTTCCTTCTTTTTTCTCGCCTGCTACAGTGAAACCCCGACACACACTCACCCGCCGGCCTTATGCTTTGCCAACTTTCTTCCACCACCGCAGTGCAACGGGTTACAACTCCGATACTAGTGCAATGATCCCCGTAAGATCCAACTCAAAATGCCACATGCAAATTGGGAGCATTCAGATGAAGAACTCACAAGCTTGGGCTATGGCTATGAACAGTGCCAATTCAAAATTCCACTCAAAGTACAAATAATATACGATTAAAAAGTTCGGGACTGAGCGGTCTCAACCATTGCAACACACTCCGGTAAGTACCCGACTTTCTCCCCCTCCGATCTGGTTCTTCTCTCCCTCTGTTACTCTCTATCTCTCCACTCACATCTCTGCAATGTTCATCCCGCGATACTCCCTGCCCTGAATGCCTCTGCGGGGTGCCTCACAACAACGGGCGGCTATGGCCGCCAAACACTTCATCTCCCCCTGTCCTGGCTATGGTGGTCTGTCGCAGCCAGGGCGCTGGTCTTCTTCCTCCCTTCAGCCCACTTCTTCATCCAGGTCGCTAGTCCGCACAAGCTCCAACAGCTTCCACAAATTTGCGAAATGACAACTGACTGTCCTCCGACACTGTAGCCCAAAATATATAGTTGAAGTGGGCTGGGTGTGCCTGCTTCAATCGGTACTGGCCTCCTACGGCCTCTGCCTTGCCAAGTTGCTATTTTGGGAAAGTTCCCAACTTCCGTTGGTAGGCTGCTGCAAATTTGGACTTTGGGGACTGGCATGCTCCTACAGGTACTGTACTCACTGACCTGTGATGCCTACACCTATAGACCCTAAGATTCAGCTACCGTTAGGGTTTGGGGACTGCAATAATTGAGGACCCTGGAGCAGGGTCTGAGAAAATTTGCAATGTGAATCCATTCAAATCCAAGATTCGGGGCAATCAGCAGGAAATTATTAAAGTTGTAATTCAATTGTCATGACGTTGAATATTTGGAATCATTGATTACAACCAGTAGGATCCTCAGAGTGGGCATATAGCCTCTGAGGATCCTACTCATTGTAATCAACGATTCCAAATATTCAATGTCATGAAAAGAGAGAGAGAGAGAGAGAGAGAGAGAGAGAGAGAGAGAGAGGGCACACATGGCCGCTTGCCCTGGGTTGTGTGTGCACACTCGCCCTTCCACTCTCTCTCTGTCACACACACAGACACAACACACACACACACACACACACATGTTACACTTGTACAAAACGAAAAGAAGAAGGAATGAAAAAGAACCAAAAAGTTGTCTTCCCTGGAATAGAACACCCAGGCATTGGCATTATGGTTGTATCTGATACAAGTTTCACTCTAGATGTAGCCATAGTGAGTGTGTGTTCAATTTGGGTGACGACGGTAGTAGTATTGTAGAATTTGTAGTGTCGTAGTGGCGTAGTGGTAGTAGGTGTAATAGTAGTCACAGAGAGAGAGAGAGAGAGAGAGAGAGAGAGAGCAACAGGGCATACATGGCCATGGGTGGGCATGCGCACTGCGGTCATGTGCCCACATCCACCCGGCCTCTCTCTCGCACACAAAACACACACTTATGAAAGAGTTCTCTTTTTCCAGGGGTAAACTGTTACGGACTCAGCCAGGGCTCGATCCCTGGTCCGCGGGTTACCACCCGCCAGGGTGCTATTTTATTTTTGGGTTCCTGCTCTTCAGATTCTGACTGTTGGCGCCCTCTGCAATTGGCGCCCGTTACCAAATTCCTCCTTCGGCACTTTCGGATTTCGACACTTGGCGCCATCCGGCATTCTGGCGCCCAGACTCAGACCTTCGATTTTCAGTTCATCCATGAGGCAAATTGCACTTCTGCCCTCGGGACTGAACTTGAGTTTGGTACTAGCCCAGTACGGGGGACTGGTTTTCAGCCTTAGTGCTTGTTCAGTGTGACCCTGCTTCAACATTGCCTTCAGGAATTCAAGACTGTGACTTTGCCACTTTGCCACTTTGTGTCTGCGTCCGTCGAGTTGTGTCGAGTCGTCTCGAGTCTGCGTCGAGCTGAGTGAGCGTTTGTGTGTGCTCTCACTCTCCCTCCCTCCCCCAGCCTCACTGCTCTGCCTCTACCTTGTTACATAGACCACCTGGTCATTATAGCTGTGCAATGACTTGCTGATTCCTGCTGTCGAGACTGTCTGCGAGGCTGTATACTAACCTGTAGGGTTAGTTTTGCAATTTTGTTTGGCTGAGGGCTAACCGAGAGATCCGCCTCTGTATTTTTCAGAAATTACAGATCTGTCCCTCACGAATTACTAACGGAGTTCCTACAGCTACCCTAACTGCCTATAGCAGGCCCGGGCTAACCTCGGACAGACAGGCCCTAAGCGGCCTATACTGCTATACGGTCCTATAGCCTATAGCCGGGTCCGGTAGAGGTCGAGAGGCCGAAACAGCAGTGGTACCGGTAGGTCCAGTCAGTCTGGTCTAGGTCTAGGCTAGTGTAGGAATCTATAAGTCTAGAGGGGAAACCGGTTTGGGGCTTTTGGCTTTTCATTTTTTGCGTGCAGCGTTGGTGGCCAACCAAGTTTGCAGCATTGAAGACCTACAGCGGCACTGAAAGTTTCAGCAGGGTGAAGCAGCCATAGCCGCCTACCTGAGACAACCATAGCTGGGGCTGTACTCAACGCATCTACCCGCAGGGGGTATCTGCGATTCGGCAGGACTATCGGAGGCTCTTCACAGAGTACATGTGGGTATTCTTGCTGCGGTAGCAGCTAGGCAGCCATAGCTGCCTTCTTCATCGTCAGAGTGACTTCGCTGTTCATGATCTGCGTCTGGGTGTATGGCGCTGGCCTCTGGGAGGCTGTTTCTATGCAGCGCTAGACTCTGAGAGTGTAGTAGTGAGTGGAGTGTGTGGTACTTGAGTGGCGAGATACTGGGTTGAACTCTGGAACGATAATTGGGGTTAATTGTGTTGAGTTGGCTCATCATCTGGGTTACTTTCTAATTGTGATCTTCGCAGTGTCAATTGTGATTGGTTGTTGGGAGTGTGTCATGGAGAGAGAAACACTGAGTGTATTCTCCCCTTCTGTGCATAATTGCTATTCCGCTGTTTATCTCTGATCTGTGTGCAGTGGGACCCTGTCTCCTTCTCCCCCTTGTCTCATGCATGTATGGGCGTGTGTGAGTTCTTCTGAGTGAGAGTGGCAATCAAATTGTCAGACAACCAAGTTCATAACAGTTGGTATCGGAGCGGAGATTGGACTTGGAGTCCAAAGGGTTGAGCGCAATAGGGGCACCTTCTTCATTTGGCTCTAATTGGCGAGAAGGTCCATGGCGGTTCTTCATCTCCAGTGACTATCCAGCAGGGAAGAAGGAATACAAGCGGTGATTACAGGAGTATCAGTTTGTGATTGATCAGGCACCCTGAGCCTGTCTGTGTGCCTGAGAGGAAGTGGCGAGAATAGGGTTATTTCGCCATCCACCCTCCTGACCTCAGTTGATGATTGGGTCTAGGGTGGCGAAATTTACCCTAATCCAGTGATTACTGGGTGGCGGCTTCAATCCCAGCATAGCGCTGAGGGAGGATTGATCGCAGGATGACCTCCTGCTAAATTAGCCCTACGCAGGGCTAAATTTAGCACCAGCGGCTCATACCTGCAGTGGCGAGAAATCTTCAGGAGAGTTTTCTCTCGCCAATGAGCTAGATTCAGTGAATCTGAGGGTGGGGTGAATCGCCACATCATACTGGAGCAGATCAACAAGTTTCAGGAGATTCTATGCGTGGGAAGCTCTAAAAGACTGATTGCAAGGACTGGCGAGACCAGGGTTTGGCAGTCATAGCCAAAGCTTCATCATCCACTGAGGGTTATACTTCAAGTGAGTTCGTTCCATATGAATCCCCGAGTAGTGATTGGATTGTATCAGTAGAAGTAGGATTAATGGTCTGTCTGTCAGTAGTGTAACAATCGAGAAATTGCCAGAGTGCAAGACAACCATATCCATCTTCTTCCTCCCTACCCTGACTCATATCTCTTCATCTATTGACCTGTTCTGACTCCAAATTGTTTTGGTACTGCCTGACAGTATTGCGCTGCATCCTGTATGTTCATTCCTTGAATTCTGTATTGAAAAAGTAGTGATCCTGTGGATTTGAGTTTTGCGCTGAGTCTATTTATAGTCTAGGCCACCTAGGGTCAGTCATAACTCAAAATCTGGCCATCAGAATTCAAGTCTGTCAGTCTTGGGTGAATCGCAATTCTATTTTTAGCATCTGTGCTAAAGTGCTAGTCCAGAAGCATCGTATTTGGGTCATTACTAGGTAATCCTGAAATTCGCCATATCTGGGGTTATTTCTGTTGATGTCAACAGTGGCGAAATTTGAGTTTGGGGCTGTCAGGGTGTAGTTTACTAAATCGCTACTACTTGTTATCCTGTTTCAGTCATTTCTTGCCTGTATCCATCAATTCTACTAATCCTCTCTGCTTTCTGATGAGCTCTGGAATGTTAGTAACCCCTGGAATGTTGTGAAAGTGCATGTTGCAACTTCAGTGAAAGTTCAGGGTCAGGTATAGGAAATCGTTGGTGCATGATTTTACTAGACTTCCAGTCAGCCTGACTACTGACCCTAGTGGTCCTATTCCAACCCTAACTGCTTGTGCCCACTAACCCACATTGCTTTTGAATTGACAGTGCAGCGAAATTTGAGTGTTTGTGGGATCTGTAAATCGCTGCACGTCCTGCTGCTTCATTTATTTGTTGTTTTGTTCTGAGAGGGAAAATGTCTGAAACCGCTGACACAGGTGCAGAGCAGGTGGAGGTGGTGGTTAAGGATGAGGCCCAAGCCTCACCCTCAACTCCACCTCCCCCTCCTCTGACCCCTGCGCAGCGGCGCAAGAAGGAGATCCAGGAGAAACTGTGAGAGCAACAGGTGCTTCTCGCAGAGGCAGAGAGACAAGAGGCCGCAGAGCTGGAAGCTGCAACAGATGCTTCGAGAAAAGAGCATCTGCTGCAGCAGGCTCAGAAGACTCTTGCAGATGCCAGAGTGGCCCAGTGTACACGGGACCTGACTGAGCTGATACTGTTGCAGGACAAACTTACAGCCAGCCATTTCACAAACTGGGATGAGAGGATCCAGCGGCTGGAGACTCGAGTGGCTGATCTGGGAACTCAGCAGTCAAAGATCCTGGATGCTATTCAGAATCTGACTGCTCAGTTAACAGCAGCCAATCTCATCAGTCCCCTGGTCCCTGTGGTTCCCTCTTTGAAGCCCAAGAAGCCTTCTCAGCCCCCTTCTTCACCTCTTCTCCACCTCCTGTGTCTCCTCATTCTTCTCGCAAGGCTTCTCCCTCTGTCTCCTCCCAGGCCAAAGCCACACCTCCTCCCACCTTTGCTGCTGTTGTTGCTAGGGACCACAGAGGTCCCAAGATCCCTGCCCCCAGCAAATTGAAGGGGGATGACCCCAAGATTGATGTGGGGGACTGGACAGCTGGAACCCGGGCCTATCTGAAGGGGTTCCAGTGCCCAGAGCAGCAAAAGGTGGCCACTGTTGTGGGTCTGCTGGAGGGGCCTGCCCAGAAATGGGCTACCTCTACAGCAAGTGCCTAGAGTCAGACTTTGGAGGATTGGGCATTGGCACTGGGGGCTGACAAACTTTTGCAGGCCCTGGAAGATAGGTTTGCAGACAAAGAGAGAGTCCGCAAAGCTGCTGATAAGATAGTACGCCTGGGCTAGCAGCGTTACAGCGGCAGTCTGCAGGCCTTATTTGCTGAATTTGAGCAGCTGACTTCCACCCCTGGATTGGTTATGTCTGCAGATGATTTGTTGACTAACTTTTGCAGGGCCGTGCCTGAAAAGTTATGTGTTGCTTTGTACAGCGCCGGTCATAAAGACTGGAGATCTTTTGGACGCGCAGCACTGGACATGGAAGCCAAGCTTCATGTTCATGCCCCCTCCAGTGACAGGAGGAGAGGCGCCTTCCCTGCGCGGTGGTAGAAAGGGAAAGGCGGCCTTCGCATACGCGGGTTCTGGGTCAGCCTCTGAGACAGGATCCCAGCCTGGTACACCGCCAGCTGGGACTGTTTCAGCTGTTGTCCCAGATGTTGCAGCAGTTGTTCAGCAGCTGCAGGCTGCGCTGGGGGCCTTCCAAAAGGCCGGGTCTGCCTCCAGCACCGCCTCCAGCAGCAAGGGGAAGAGCCAGGGACATCGCTCTTCAACCCCTGCCCGGTGCCCTAATTTGCCACGTGACGTCCACTTCCCAGCAGACCCTCTGAACTCCAACACTCTCCCATGGCATGATCTGAAAATCCAGGAGGGAGTGTGGAGGAAGAGGAAGGAAAGAGGTGTCTGCTTGAGGTGTGAAGGACAACACTTTCTCAAGGACTGTCCTTACATGCCCAGTCCAGCTCAGTCAAAAACCTGCAGCTGAACCTGGAGACAGCAGTTCCCTCCAGTGCTGCAACTGCATCTGCAGCTGCAGCAAGTTCAGTTGAGACTCGTTCCTTCCCATCCAGTGTGGGAACTGCACGGGCAGCATCCTTTACGTATGAGGATCCTGACCCGGATCAGGAACTGGACCAGTCTGAGTCTCAAGCTCTTGCTGCTTTTTTCTTTCATCTGAAAGAACAAAAGCAGAACAAGCCTGACCTCATACTTCTTCGGCCCCTGATCAACCACACCAGGATCAAGGGGTTATTAGACTGTGGAGGCACCCGAAACTTCATGTCTCCCAGTGCAGTCAAAAAACTGCACCTGGGCATGAAAGTGGTGCAACTGCAGCAACCGCTGCAGGTCAGGATAGGTGACTCCACTGTTCTGACCATCAGGGAGAAGGTCAGGGGTATCCTTGTCACCTTCGACAAGGTTGGAGAAGACGGACATAGTTTGAACTTCTACATCTTCCTTGATCTACCCTTTGATCTGGTTTTCTCAATGCAGTGGCTAAGAGTAGTCAACCCAAGGATCGACTGGCAGATCCCTAAGGTTGAGCTGCCAAACAGCAAGGGGGTGTATCAGCCATGTATGATTACAGTTGATCACCACCCTAAGACATTTTGCTTCTGCCTGAGAGCGAGAGAGTTCAATGCTCTCTCACGCCAGTATGACCATGAGCGTCTGTTTATAGCTCTAGTCAAGCAGACAAACGCTCCCACTACTCCCAGTCCTCCTTAGATACAGCAGGTTGTGGACCAGTATGTTGATCTGATGTAGGAGCCCTTTGGGTTATCCAACCGGCCAACCAAGCATCACATTGAGCTGCTGCCTGGAGCGGTCCCTCCCAAGGGCCGCATCTACAGGATGTCACCTGCTGAGCTTGAGGAGCTCAAGCGAGAGCTTGAGACCCTGACCAGCAAGGGCTGGATCAGGCCCAACACTTCTGAATTCGGTGCTCCAGTCCTCTTTGTTCCAAAGGGGAGTGGCGAGTTTAGAATGTGCATAGACTACAGGGGTCTCAACAAGATCACTAGGAAGAGTACAAAGCCACTTCCTAGGATCGATGACCTCCTGGATATGGTCCACGACTGCACCATCTTCAACAAAGTTGACCTCAAATCTGGTTATCACCAGATTGAGATGGCAGAGGAGGACGTCCACAAGACGACCTTCAAAACCAGGTATGGTACTTATGAGTACCTGGTGATGCCATTTGGACTTTGCAATGCACCTGGCACCTTCCAGACTGAGATGCACCGCATATTCAGGCCGTACCTGGATAAGTTTATGGTTGTCTACCTGGATGATATCCTGGTATTCAGCAAAACTACCAGGGAACATGCGGAGCACCTGGCTCTGGTCCTTCAGTCATTACGTGACAGCCAGTATAGGATCAACAGGGAGAAGTCCTCTTTTGGAGTTCCCTCTGTTATCTATCTGGGTCATGTAATCTCTGGAGATGGACTGGCCCCTGAAGCAGCCAAAATTGTTGCTATTCAGGATTGGCCACAGCCCCAGACAGTGAGAGATGTTCGGTCTTTCCTGGGTCTGGCCTCATACTACAGACAGTTCGTCAAGAACTTTTCTGCAGTGGCTGCACCCCTGACTAACCTCACAAAGAAAGACACTCCCTTTCTTTGGTCCCTTCACTGTCAGATGGCCTTACAACACATTTTGACCGAGGAGCTAGTCCTCATAGCCTTCCAGGCCCTCAAGGATGAAGCGACCAGTTTTGCCAGATCCCTTGCGCGCGCAGCCGGTTATGAAAACAACCTGGTTGCATATTCCAAGATCACCCCCTTTCCTCAGTCCTTCAAACTCCTGCGAGAAAGGTTTGTTGACCCAACGAGAGGCGTGCGGGCCTCTGACAAGTTACAGACCATCCACTCACGACAGTGGAGGAGTGCACGAGCACTCAAAGCTGTCATGGACGACTTGGTAGCCGTCCCAGACCATGGGGTCACTGAGGCCCAACTAGTCCAATTATTCTATCGTGCCATACCAGAGCCCCTGCGTGGGCATTCCTTCGATAAGTCTCAGGCAGGCCATGGGAAGATTTGGGCTTGGACCACCACGTATGCCAAGAACGCGTGGACCTGGGTCAGTGTGTAACGAGCGTGAGGCTGAGGGTGAGCCGAAGGAGAGGAGAGAGAGGGAGAGAGTGAGAGCACACACACACACTCACTCACTCGACATGACGGACTCGGACTRASGGTCGGACGCAGACACAGTGGCAAGGCACAAAGTCGAAGTCTTGGATTCCGAATGCCGAAACAGCAAGTCACACTGAGTACGAGTACAGCCGCAGAGAACTGGTACGAGACTGCCCCCGTACCGTACGGGGGGCCGGTATAAGTACCGGTGACACGTACGGTACCAGGGGCATTTCTGCAAAGGCCCCCGAGGGCGGAACTGAAAAATGCAGTATTTGAAAGTGGCGCCCGAATTGCAGCATGGCGCCAGTTGTCCAAAATCCTACGGTACCAAAGGAGGAGTTTGGAAAAAGGGCGCCAGGCCGAAAACGGGATGTAGCGGAAACAGCAAAAAGATAGACTAGGGATCGAGCCCTGGCGAAGTCCGTAACACTATCCCCTCCCTCTAGAAGGCAACGTCCCGACTGCCAAAAATCATGAAGCAATGCTGAAATCTGTGAAGGACGGGACGGGGCCGATCACTGGTTAACAAGTCGAAAGGGAAGAGGGGTATAATGTGGGTGGCATGGGCTGCGGGAGTAAGAGGGAACAGGGTTTGGTACTGGTGAACAGAGTTGTCCTACTGGTGAACTAGGGGGGGTTGCAAGGAACAGGGTAGTCCTACTGATGAACTACGGGGACTGCATGCGGCCGTTAGGTCACCTATTGTACAAAGACGCACGTGGCCATATTTCGTGTAGGTTAAGGGGGAACAAAGTTCAGGGAACAGGGAACTTCTATTGATGTTCTACTGGGTAAGGGAAACGGTGTTCAAGAAAACAAGGTATTTCTATTGATGTTGTAGTGGGTAAGGGAAACAATGGTCAGGGGAACAGGGGATGTCTATTGATGTTCTAGTGGGTAAGGGAAACAATGGTCAGGGGAACAGGGGATGTCTATTGATGTTCTAGTGGGTACGGGGAACAATGGTTAGGGAAACAGGGATCTGCTAATGATGTTCTACAGGGTTGTCAAAGTCAGGAAAAATAAAAATGAAAATGTTTGTTCAAGATGCGAAGGCTGGTGTGTCCGAAGGAGTCGGAAGCA